TGCCTCAACTGAAGATTTAGATATCATTGTCTGCTTCTTGTTTTTCCAAGAAATAAGTGATTTCCCAAGGAAAATGCAATATCTTGTTATTGATTGACGTGTAGTAATATCCCCAGCCCAATCTGCGTTACAAAATCCAATCATACTCAGATTATTTTCTGAGGGAAAGAATATTCCTTGTTCTGGTGACCCTTTCAACTATCAAAGTAGACGATGAGCGGCATCAAGATGAGGTCTTCTAGGCTCTTGCATGAATTGGCTAAGAGTGTTGACTGAAAAAAATTTCTGGCCTCGTGATGGTCAAGTAAATCAATTTTCTAACCAATCGTCGATAGTATGTCGAATCTTCAAGTAAATCGACATCGGTAGAGTAAGCTTTAAAGATTGCTCCATAGGAAACTTGGTAGGTTTCGCACCAAGTAGCCCAGATTCTTGAAGGATATCAGGAGTGTACTTTCATTGGTTGATGGAAATTCCCATTTTAGACCGGCCTATTTCAATCCCAAGGAAATATTTCAACAATCTGAGGTCCTTTAACTTGAAGCAAGATGCAAGGAAGTTCATTACATTTTCGATGGTCATTTGATCGTTTTATGTTATAATCATATCATCAACATATAGAAGAATAGTTATAAATGAGTCTCCACAGACCTTTGTAAAAGGAGAATAGTCAGCTTGTGACTGTTGAAAGCCAAATTCACTGATGGTAGAGAGAAATTTGTGGAACCATGACCTTGAGGCTTGTTTCAACCCATATAAGGATTTGTGAAGGCGACGTACAAGTGTTGACTCCCTTTGTTGATGAAAACTTGGTGGAAGATGCATGCAGACTTCCTCAGTAAGGTCACAATGTAAAAAAAATTTTACACATTCATTTGATGGAGATTCCATCCACGAACTGAGGCAATAGCAAGAAGGCACCTGAGAGTAGTAAGTTTGGCAATGGGGGCAAATGTCTTCATGTAATCAATACCCTCCCGTTGAGTAAAGCCTTTAGCAACGAGGTGATCTTTGTATCTTTCAACAGTCCCATTGGAATTATATTTGATTTTGTAAATCCATTTGTATCCAATGGGGTGGTGACCTGAAGGGAGAGAAAATATGGACCAAGTTTTGTTTAATTTAAGTGTATCAATTTCAGCCTTCATTGCCTCGACCCATTTTAGTTCCTTGCAAGCCTGCTTATATGTATCTGGTTCAATCCAGTGAGAAATGCCAGATGTAAAAGCATGATGACCATGAGAAAAGTTAGCATATGACACATATCTTGAAATAGGATGGTGAGTACTGGATTTAACGAGAAGAGATGATTCCTGAACGGGGAGAGAATCATTGATATATTAATCTCTAAGTTGAGCCGGTGTATCGATTTCCCTGTTGGAACGTCGATCTATATGTTCAACTTCGATCGAGGGTCCAAATGTCCGATGGTGACTATCCTGATGTTCGGTAGGGGCTGTGTTGGATAATTACGCTGGTTTGAGCTAAGGGTGGTTATCTTGTGGCTGTGTAGGTTGTAAATCAATGTTTGATGTAAGAGGATAGACTAAGGGCTCTTCTAGATTGATGTCTATGGGTTTTGGCAAGTTGGTGTGTCATGTTGGTCATGGTGAGGAATGTTGGAGTATGGAAATATGTTTTCATAGAATACGACGTCTCGGGAGGTAGTAGTGTTTTTTCATCCAAATCATAGACTAAATATCCCTTTTGTCCTGGTGGATACTCAAGGAAAACACATCGTCGCGTACGAGCATCAAATTCATAAGTAGGTTGTAGTTAGTGGCAAAACATAGGCAGCTATAGACTCGTATGTGAGAATAAGATGGTGGCTTTTTCTTTAGTCGATCATATGGTGTTTGTTTGGATAAGAGTGGTATGGGTAAGCGATTGATGAGGAAGCAAGCCATTTTAACATGTTCCCCCCAAAATTTCAAGGGAAGACGTGTTTGGAAACTAATTACTTTTGCGACATTTAAAAGGTGGCGATGCTTGCACTCAACTACACTAAAATGGTGGTGGAATAATACTTCCTGATCTACTTGGTGGCCTTTAGCGTTCCTGCTACTCCGACGGGCTTATGTAACCTGAAAAGTGAGAATGGGGCGGTTGTAGAATAATGCCTCTTGAGCTACCTAGCGGCCTTTAGCGTTTCTTCTGCTCCGATAGGCGTGTGTAACCTGAAAAGTGAGGCGGGGCTTTCTTTCCCGTTTTACCTCCGACGTGAGAATCAGCATACGTGTTAGGAGAAATAAGGACGGAATTTAGATGGATGAAAAATATACAATCATCCATACCTGTGTCGCCCTCAGGGGTATTTATAGATGTTGGAAGTCGAGTGTGAGCCGAGTGGTTGTGATGCCACGCGTCCCCACGTTGGCCTTTCCATTACCCCCACGTTCTGAGTGGGGTTCTTAGCTTCTCGCCCGGAGGTTGTGCTCGTGGTAATCATCATATAACATTGTCAATTCATCAGAGATTTTATGGCTAAGTGCTGAGATGACCCTATAGGTAATTTCATGATGGTCGATGATCTCGCATTGAGGTAGAGCACCCGGAAGGTCGACGATCTCTCGTAGAGGTAAAGTACCAGGGGGTTCGATGGTCTCTCATAGAGGTAGAGCGCCCCCGAGGGGTCGATGGTCTCTCGTAGAGTTAGAGCACCTGGGGGGTCAACGATCTCGCGTAGAGATAGAGAGCTCCCGAGGGGTCGATGGCTACACGTAGAGGTAAAGCGCCCACAGGGGGTTGATGGCCTCGCGTAGAGGTAGAGCGCCCATAAGAATCGACAATCTCACGTAAAGGTAGGGCGCTTATGTGGGGCCGAAGGTCTCGCATAAAGATAGAACACTCATAGGGATCAACGATCTCACATAAAGGTAGAGCGCTCATGGGGAGTCGAAGGTCTTGCGTCAGCGTGTAATGCCTTATCTTACTCGTTATCACAGGCGGTTGTCTACACCATCCAATATCATACACCATTTTGTTGTGGTGTGTAAGTGCAAGATCATTAAGAAATGTTTGTAAAGAGATGAATTCTTGTCCATTGTCCGATCTTAAGGTTTTAATTGAAAGATTGTGTTGTGTTCTGGCCCAAGCAAAGAAATTTTTAATGATGGCCTGGCATTCAGATTTATGACGCATGAGATGGAACCAAGTATAACGAGAAAAATCATCCACAATTGTTAAAAAAAAATTCACTTTGAATTTTGGAACATGTAGCACATCATTGATGACCATATTATTGCACAGTTTCATGGGCCCAATAGATTTAATCCCAACATGTCCTCCATTTGGCAATTGCACAGTAGCATGTTTAAGTGTAATTTTATTGTCAACTGGTGGGTTCTTAGATACATGGTCGATAGCCTCACTATCAATGATCCACGTGTTATTTGCATACGCGACAGAGGATTCACTGCCTGAAGTATTGATAAAAGAATTGGCATTACTGGTCTCTTTGTGAAGGAGTGCCATGGTTTCGTCGTACTCTTTCCCAAATAAAGCAACTACTCTTTCCCAATTACTTGCTTTATTTGTTCCGTCTCTACATTGGAAACGGCGGGGGAATTGGTAAATTTCTTTCCACTCGTCTTGATTTGTTTGCCATGGTATTTATGTCCTGGAGGGAATCCATGAAGGAAGAAACAACGATCAATGTTGTGGCCGTTCATATTGGAATGGGAGCAGTGTCGATCTTCTAGGGAGTCAGACATCCGGGTGGGACGGGTGGATGCCCTGTTCTGCATTTTCTGCCCAGTCCAGTTGACATTGTGTTGTCCAGTGAGCTCTAAGTTGGTTGCTACTTCGTTTAGTCTCTCATGTTGTAATATGAGGGAATGGACTTTTCGAGTGTTGGGGAGCGGATTCATCATAAGTATGGAACCACGAACCGTGGAGAAGGAATCATTCATCCCCATAAGAAATTGCATGACTTTCTCATTCTCTTCTCTTTCGGCGAAGACTTTGAGGCCACCACAATTGCAGGTAATTGGTTCATGGTATGAGGCTAGTTCATCCCAAAGAGCTTTCATCCTGGTATAGTAAATTGACACGGATTGGTGTCCTTGTCGGTTTTCAGCAATTTCTTGGCGGATTTGATAGATACTGGTGTCATTCCCTTGTGAAAATCTTTCATGCAGGGAATTCCACACATCAATCGCAAATTCGACATATATAATGTTGCTGGCAATATTTGGTTGTACGGATTCCATCTGGTTGCAACGCTCCCATATAGGAAATGTGTCATCGGTCTTAAGTTGTGCCTTTACTGTCCCGTTGATGAAGCCAATTATGTTCTTGGCTCTTAGAGCTATTCACATTGCACAGCTCCATTGTCCATAGTTGATTTCGTTGAGTGGTTTGGAGACAAGAACCAAGCCGGGATGATCGGAGTGATGTAAAGTGAGTGGAACCGATTGGCTAGTTGTTATCTCAGATTTTGAAGTTCTATCTCCCATGGTTGCCGGGGATTTTGATCCTTAATTCTCTATTGTTGCAGCAGAAAATTATTTCTCAAAATTCAATAATGCTCTGATACCATGTGAAATTTGGTTTTGGGAGAGAATAAGAGGAACATTTCTTTATTGCTTATGAATGAATAATACATCAACATCAATATATATATATTCATAAGGAATGGAATAAACAATAATATGACAATAATAATTACAAATGGACTATTCCTTCTATGCCAATACATGGAGATTTGTTTCCTTTAATAATAACGGATACGACCCAGTTAGAATAAGATCAATGTTTTTGCCTAGACTGGCTTAGAATGTTTTGGGCCTTATAATTATCCCGAAGGGACATCCATAACCACATTTTTAAGCTGCATTTCATTTGATTTGTTGTCTCGAAACATCACCTCTTCTTAACAAATGGGAGACATCGAGATGTAAAGTGTCAAGGTAAGAAAAAGTTGTTTTAGCGTCTTCCCATTTACTAAGAAGAAATTATGCACAGAGCTCTAAAAAATGTATTGGTGAGATGGTCAAGGAGACAGCAAGTTCATGTGGATTCCAATTATAATGCTACAAACCACTGCTAGAATCACAAATGCAAGTAACCAGAAACATTCAAATATGGCGATTCATACGTCACGGATGATGTATTCTGCTTGGTGCATACAGTGTACGAGAAATCAACCTATCAGTTTCTCCCGATCTCTATACAGCAAACAGAGGAAAGATAACCAGGTTCTTTTTCACTAGGCAGAGGTTCAAAATGCAGCCACAAGATTGGATTTGCAATCATCTTCATTTGATCCACTAACGTCCACCCATACTTCATTAACACGCCGAATAAACTTCAATGGGGAATTATACTGCGCAATCGAGTAAGCATATCCGCTATCTGTAGAAGTTGAGTTTGCCCATGGAGACTTGCTCAAGCTTAAGGCCAGTTTCTCAGCCTCCTTCACAATGTTACGATCCCTTGCAAATCCCGAGAATTTCCTGATGGCAATGCAGTGACACTTCCATGAATCGGGTCTAAGGTTCAGTTCAGGAAGTGGGAGGGGTGGGATGGCCGAGAATTTCGCTGGCAAGTAAAACTTGACAAAGTATGCTGACGAATGAAGAGGTCCGGCTCCGGGGACGATGCCTGTCAAGACAGGAACAGTCATTGATATCCGGGAAAAGTTCAAGTTTGCCCCTTCTATGTATTGGAATAATCTGAAAAAACAGATTTAACATAGTTAGAAACATTTCAAGTAACCGGATTGTTGCACCTTCACGTGATTATTCACTTACTATTTCTATTTTTATGTACATCGAAATATCAACCTAATTGGCTCTATAAAAATGGAACTGATTCACACCAAGTCAAAATATATTTTCTATTCAACAGTCCATCCTAATTGACTCTTCTGAAGCCCTCAATATAGGGCCGATAAAAAAAAAAAAAAAACAAAAAAAGGGCCGAAAAAAAAAAAAAAAAAAAAAAAAAAAAAGTCTTGCTTTATCATCGCCCATGTTAATTGTATAATATGGTATTTTGAAGTTTTTTCTTAGTGAATTAGCTAAGCAAACCACTTAGATATCATAATAGCAGAATGTCACAAACCAGTTTCTTGAGAGTAACGTAATGAACTTTATAAGAGGATTCTGAAAAATCCCAATGGAAAATTGCATTTGATCCATATGATTTGAAAAGTTTATTCCTAATGTCGTCCAAGAGGTTTTCACCTAACAACAAGCAAAACAGAGTCTTGACGATGCTTGTGATCATATTCCCTTGATTTCAAATAATAAAACTAATAATTATGGAAGAAAACTTGCATCGTTTTACCAAATTCAATTTTGAGTGTTAATAATATAGTTCAAACCAGACCACAGCTACAGTAACAAAAGATTATTCTTAATATTGAAAAAACAACAAATTTAGAAATTTGCCACACTTTTCACATTGAGGAAGGTAATAACTAAAATTTGAGTTATGCAGGAAGCGTAAAAATATATCTTATTCCTTGTTTGAAGTGTAAATGAAGACTGGAACTTCCATTTATGTAGACTCCCCCCCTCAACCCCGAACTGAACAAGTATGCACAATATGTCATCAATTTAAGCGACACAAAAATAATTTGAAGAAGAAGAAGAAAAGAAAAGAACGTGAAATAAATGAAAAAATGATCATATTTTACTCTCATCTTTATGATGGATTACGGCGATAAGTAATTTATGGTAATATCGGATCCACCATGTGCCCAGTGAGGCCACTGAAATTTGGGAGAAAAAAATACTTGCATAATTTTAGGTTCATCAAACTTTCAATTCATGGACACTGCAATGAATAAATTTAGATTGCTTGACAAAGTGGTACCATAAACCAAATAAAATGTAAATATAAAAAGTAAAGAACAATGTGACTTTATTGACCACATCAAAAGGAAGGAACCAAAACTAACATGGTTTTTCGTAATTGCTAAGAATTTAGTATTTCGAATCATCAAGTAAATCTTGTAATGGACTTAATGGAGTAGCTATGAAAGATTCATGCCAACCAATACCCATTATTACATTTCTTTTTCCCAGTTAAATTATGCCCTCATTAACCTGTAATCCTGTCTCCGCCCCTACGGAAGCTCACCCCAAGGATGGAAGCGTCAATTATTAAGCTTTGCCAGAAGAGTTACTCATCAAGTCAGTCACGTTGAAAGTTAAATGATTATGTCATGTAAGAGACCAGTGATGATTCAAACCATATACACAGTATCCCTTGGTCAGCTACAAAAAAATTGAAACTTGGGCGACCAAAGTACTTGTCCATGTAAAAGGTTGAGGACCCTATTCTCTTCTTCCAACTTACCAGGCAAAAGTAAAAAGATCAAGTAAGAAATTTTATAATCCGAACATTATAATCATAGTGAAGAAACAAGTAAGAATCTCAAAATCAAACACAATAAACTTGTAATCATAATCTCAAAATTACACGGAACAAAATTAAAATCAGCTTCAACTATTTCTTAGTGACCCAACAAAAAAATTAGAAAACCCGTTGAATCTAACGCCAATTCTCATATAAAATAGATGAAAAAGATTGAAAAGGGTACCTGTGGAATCCGTCTCTGGTGGCTTTCTCAAAGGAGATTTCATCAGTCGGTGCAGTCATCCAAGAGGAGTCTCTGTAAAATCTGACCTCAAAATCTGATTCTTTGTGCACCACTGTGTACTGAGGTGATTCATACGTTTTGCACTGAACTATTCTAGTGGTGGATGTCACTATGAAAATCGTTATTATTCCAAGAAACAAGAATTTTGGGTTCTCCATTTACTGTTAAGTGGAGTACGTATGATCAAGTCAAAGGATGAATGAATGGGGTTTTCTTCTGGAACAGCGCGCAGTGGTGAGTTTTACAATGTAGTCGAATATAAGGCGGGGAAACGTGCTTTGGTGTAGACTTGCGACTTTACTTGTGCGATATATAATTGGACTGAAACTGAACCCCAAAAAAAATAAAAATAATAATAATTTTTTTTTTTTTTTTTTTTACTGAAACTGAACCAAAAAAAATAAAAAATAAATGTTACAACACCTTAAAGGCAAGGTCAGTTCTGCCACACTAATGATCTGAGTTTCAGATGACTAATGATCTGAGTTTCAGACTAATGATCTGAGTTTCAGATGACTAATGATCTGAGTTTCAGACTAATGATCTGAGTTTCAGATGACCCCCTGTCACGTAAGTCTGTCATAGGTTCTTGTTTGAGCAGAATAATTCCATCTTCAATAGCGATATGGATTATATTAATTGTGGGCCATACGTATTAGAACATGATGTAGAGAAAAAGTTGAAACGAGTTATAAAAAAAAATACACATTTCATCAGAAGATAAATTATAAAAAATTAAGTGAAGAATGAGTTCCTTAGTCGAAAAGATATGTGGCCATGAAAGATAAAACTGCACTTTTCACACACTAAACATCCCTTGCCTTTAGGGGAAGCCCCTTTGGCAATCCCTGGATGTTCAAGGGGTTGTCACCATCTAGCTTATTCTTTTTTGTTGTGTCTAGTAACTAAAAGGTGACAATGAATTGAATCAAAGCAATCTCTCGAGAAATTTGAACAAAATAAAATTATATTCTCCCCTTCTTTGTTGTGGTAAATAGTTATGGGGTGGTAATAGGTCGCATCGAGCCGGCCAACTGGTGATAATTGGAATAAATGAAATCCTCTCTCTCTCTCTCTTTCTCTCAGGGTTTTTCTTATTTTTAAATTGTATTCAGTTGTTAGGAGTGATAATGGTCTGTCCCTGGGCTTGATTTCATCTTACCTCAATCCTAATAAAGAATATTGATTCTTGATAACCACTTTCACCGATTTAACGTAAGAAAGATTTGACTCTTTTTTTGGAATTGTAAATACCTCTAGAGGAGGGGAGGGGGGG